GCGTCGCTGGCGGCGGGCCGCGGCCATCCACGTCTTGGAGGCTGAGGGGGCGCGCTGGGCTGTGCGGCGCCTTGCTCGCAATTCACAGCTGCGCGGACATCGGCACCTCATCCTGGGTGACAACCTCGGGGTGGTGTGCGCATGCGAAAAGGGCAGAGCGGCACATTTTGCACTCAACGTCGTCTGTCGGGAGATCTGCGCCATCTCAATCGCCTCCGGGATGCATCTCAGGTTCAGATGGATTCCTTCAGAGCTCAATCCTGGAGATGCTCCCTCTCGCAGGTTCATGCCAGGCATGGGAAAGCAACACGGTGTCGGACAATGCGGTGCACCCTCAGTCGGGGGTGAGAAAGGCACACAGCAGGCTGGTCCTCTATCCGGAGCCATCGGCTCGAGGGAGCAGAACCATGCCAGCGACGGCTTACTGGGTCAACCCCGCCTACGGCAAGCGCGCCCGCGATGCAGCGGCGCCCAGGCCAGCGCCAACCACCCGGCGCGCCTTCGGCTCGCGCGGCGGGCGCGGGCTGCCAGGCCCTTCGGGCTCCCGCCAGGGCTGGACATCCCCAGCGCCGCTGAGCGACAAGCCCGCAGAGGTCTGTGCGCGACGGGCGCGGCTGTGTCCGCGGCTCTCGCGACTGGCGGCTCGTCGGGTGCGACACGCTACCGAGCTCTCGTACCTGCGGGCGCTGACCATGCTCTTGGGCTGGCTACGGCTACTTGCGCTGCCGTGCTGGACCCCCGCGCAGTGGGACGAGACGCTGGTGGACTACTCCGAGTGGGCCTTCGACCGCGGCATGGGTCGGGAGGCGTTCTCGCGCATCCTCTGTGCCGTGGCTTGGGGCGAGCCTGCGCTGGGAGGCCCCGTGCGGCGCCTCTTTCCCGCGGCGCACGCGTCGCTGTCAGGCTGGGCGCGCCTCCAGCCGGGACACTCCCGCCCGCCATTGCCGCGGGCAATCGCCCTTGCGATGGCTGCCGTGCTGGTCTCGATGGGCAAGCCGGACTCGGGTCTGTGCATCATGGTGGCCTTCGAGTGCTACCTGCGCCCGTCAGAGGCCGCGACCTTGCTGGCCAAGCAGCTGCTTCCAGGCAGGTGCAACGAGGTCGGGGTGCCACGGTTCCCTCTCCTCATCCTGCACCCAGAGGAGCTCGCTACCAGCTCCAAGACGGGCGAGTTCGACTCCACGGTGGCGTTCGACCTTTCTCGACATCACTGGATTGGGCGTGCGGCCGCGCGGCTGCAACAGCTTCGACGCGAGGGCGAGCTCCTGTTTCAGATCTCTTACCCCCAGCTCCTGGCCGACTTCCATGCTGCCTGTCACTACCTCAAGCTCGAAGGTTTGGGCTTCTCGCCGCGCTGCCTGAGGCACGGCGGCGCGACTCGCAACCGCGCTGCAGGCTGCCGCTCACTGCTGGAGGTGCAAAGGCGAGGAATGTGGAGGGCGGCGTCATCGGTGCGGAGATACGACAAGGCAGGACGTCTGGCGCTGGTCATGCGGAACCTCAGCAACGCCCAGAGGAAAGGCTGCGAGGCATGGGCGGCAGCCGCCCAGCGGCTCTTCGACAACGCCTACGTGCTGCCCTCCGCGCTGGCCGCCTCGGCGAGCGGCGGGCTTTCCTCGACCTCTTCTCAGGCTCTGGTGGCCTTGCCACGGAGCTGAAAAAGAGGGGGCATGCTGTAGTTTCGATCGACGTGCTCCTAGGGCCCGAATGTGAATTGCTCCAAGATGATGTCTTCCGTACTCTTCGTGGCTGGCTTGAGTCTGGCATCATCTGGGGCATGTTTTCAGGTAGCCCGTGTGAAACATGGTCTCAAGCACGCAGGGCTCCGCCGCACAGTGTCATGCCTCGACGCTTGCGAACTAAAGAGCACCTGCGAGGCCTCCCGAACTTAGAGGGGGCCGACTATCACGATGTCGTCGCCTCTAACATTCTGGCCGACAGAATTGCCCTGCTGCTCGGCATCGCCCTGAGACGCCAACTGCCAGCGGGAGAGGAAAATCCTGCGTCAAGTCTGCTGTGGCTGCTCCCCAGCCGCCAACGTTTTCTTTCGCACGCTAATGTTCAGACTGTAGTCTTTGATTATTGCGGCGCTGGCCGCCCGTTCCGAGCTCGCACGCGCATGGCTCTCGCCAACATATCTGTTCCGCCAGAGCTGTGCACCTGGCACTGTAAAGGTAGGGGGGTCTGTACGTTTTCTGGCAAGCCTCACCTTGTTCTGACGGGTAAGTCCAAGGCCGGCTTCCTTACCCATCTTAAGGCGTCCTACCCCCATCGCCTGTGCGTTGTGCTCGCTCGAGAACTTTCTCACAGCTACGTGTCCCTGCGGGCCAGCCGCCTTTGGAATTTGATGCGGTAATCCAGTACATTGCTTGAAGACGGGGTTTTATTCATGAAGATGGGTTGTGTGGGGCAAACTGCCCACGCGACATGTTGTCTTCGCCTCAGCATTTCTCTGGACAACAAGAATGATTGTAGCGTTCTCTGCGGGTTGTGTGGGGCAAACTGCCCACGCGACATGTTGTCTTCGCCTCAGCATTTCTCTGGAAATCAAGAATGAACAAAATGGGGCCAAAACCATCGTAAAATCAATGTTTTTTGCTTCAAAGACGAGCTGAGGCGCCAAACTCCCCCCCCCCGGGGCCAGAATCCTCGTGAGGGTCGTCGTTTTTTGGCCCTCCGAGGAGTCGAAAAAGACTCCCCTGACCACGCTCGGGACTCCCGATCCAGGCCCAGGGGGAGGGGGTAGGGGGAGGGGTGAACCCCTCCCCGAAGGGGAAGAAGGGGGGTTGAGGACAGAGCGGGCTCTCTAAACCACTCACGCCCAAAGGGCTGGTGGGACTTGACGATATCATCGTTGGGTTTGACTGTGCGTCTTTGATTCCTGTCTTGTCCCGAGGCTGCCACCAGGACTGCACCGACCCCCCCATTCGGAGAAGTGTGGGATGTGTGAATTCCAGAGGATCTTGGATCGACGCGAGAATACTGTTACCATGCTCGACAAACCTACCGTGAAGAAAGGCACACGTCCAAGCGATGCCGAGAGCGCGCGCGAGCCTTTCTTAGTCAAATGCTTGCCGCCGTCGAGAGAGGAGGGGCGGGCGCAGGCAGCGCATTTTCGAGCGGAAAACAATATGTGACGCTGTTGCGGACTTCTCCGCCTCGCCGCTTACGGAAAAAAATTCGGCAAACCTGCTCGCAAGAGCAGGTGGCGCGCCGAGGCTGCAGGGTGACCAGGCGCCAGACCAGTCGTCGTCGTCGTCGTCGTCGTTGGCGCGGCGGCGGCCGCGGCCGCTGCGGCGGTGCCCTGTCTGCGCTCTGCTGCCCCCGGCGGCGGCGGCCGCGGCGGCGGCGGCGCCGCCGTCGTCGTCGTCGCCGCCGCCCGCCCTTCCTGCCCCCCCCCTTCCCTCCCTCCCCTCCGCCCTCGATGAGGAGGAGGAGGCAGAGGAAGAGAAGGAGGAGGAGGAGGTGGAGGAAGAGGAGGAGGAGGAGGAGGAGGAGGAGGAGGAAGAGGAGGAGGAGGAGGAGGAGGAGGAGGAGGAGGAGGAGGAGGAGGCAAAGGCGGAGGCGGAGGTGTTGGTGGAGGAGAGAGGGGGAGGAGGGAGGAGGGAGGAGGGAGGAAGGAGGAGGGAGGAGGGAGGAGCGAGGAGGAGGAGCGAAGAGGAGGAGGAGGAAGAGGAGAAGCAGGAGGAGGAGGAGGAGGAAGGAGGGAGGAGGAGGAGGAGGTGGGGGAGCAGGAGGAGGCGGAGGAGGAGGAGGAGGAGGAGGAGGAGGAGGAGGAGGAGGAGGAGGAGGAGGAGGAGGAGGAGGAGGAGGAGGAGGAGGAGGGGGGGGAGGAAGAGGAGAAGGCCTCCTCCTCCGGCGCCTCCGCCTCCTCCCCCCTCCTGCTGCTCCTACTCCTCACCCTCCGCCTCCGCCTCCGCATTTGCAGCCTCCGCAGGACTCGAAGGCAAGGCAGGCTGAGCGTTTCTCCTTGCTGGCCCTCCCTGCGGTCAGGATGCTCGGACGGCCTTCTAGTTGCAGCTTCCTCGATGTGCATTTTGGGCTGAGAGCAGGCCTGGCGATCTGCTCGCAGTGCCGAGCCCGAGCAGCCACGGGGTTCAGCACTGCGAGAAAGGTTTCGCATACAAGGTTTGTCTTTCCGGCGGGCGGACTTACACTGGCCTGGTATTAGCCACGTGCTCTGGAATCCCCAAGGTCATCAGGTAAACTCACCTCACGCGTAAGCATCGGGGGGGCCTTGATCTGATCCAGAAGTCGAGAATGTATGTTTGCTCTTGGTGTTGGTGTTTTGGTCGAGTCAAGATCCTCCAGGTGTCTGAATTTTGTGTGGGGGCACCCCCACAACAAGAGCGCTGCTTGATCACTCAGCCTTCTTAATCGAGGGATGGACCCCAGCACCAAGAGCTATATACTTCGGCCGCGGCGGCGTCCCCATCAGGAGGAGGCGATGTGGTGCTGCGCATTGTTGCCTCACTCTGCCCGCTCGCGCTCCTCTCGGCCGCTGGCTTCTCATCGAGGGATCATGCCCGTGAAGGCGGAAAGGCTGAAAGGAGAGGTAGGAAGGGGCAGGAAGAGGAACAGCAGGGGGCCAAAGAAGGAGGCGGTTCGAGGACCGATGCTGGATGTTCAAGGATCGGGGCGTTGGATGTTTGTATTGGTTTCCAGGAACCAGTGGATTCTCTCGGGAAGCTCTGGGAGCTCCTGTTTACAGGCCCGCTGCGCTTAGCCCTGGACTTGCTTCGTTAGTATTGTGTTTTGAAAGTTGACTAAGGCTTACTGGTGCTTGCTCATGCTGGTAAGTGGTAGACAAGTGACCAGGTTACTAAGTGGGTATTCCTGAGCTCGCCAGCGGTCCCTGGACGCCTCCTGAGGTCGGTGGAGGCCTCCAGAAGCCGCAACAAGTAGAACAAACATCCAAACATGGACATTCGATCCCCGGGCCCCTTCCTCCACCTTGTGCCCCTCTCTCCCTTTCCCTTGCCCGTTCCCCCGCCAGCGAGGTGAGCTACCCACGCTCTGTGTCGCCAGGTGCATCGTCTACCTCGCGGACGAGGACAGCCGTGCAAAACATTACGCTTGCCATGGGGGACAGGGAAGGAGAGGGGAGGCAAAGTGGCGGCGGCGGCGAACCTGTGTCGAGCCGAAGGTCGAACTAAATCGAACGACGCACGCTGCCAGCAGACAGTTGGCAATGAGCGACCTACCGTGCGCGCCTCTTTCGAGGACGGTTGAAAGACGGCCCCCTCTGGGTCGGGAGCCCCGATTTGTCATCGCCCAACCACAGTGACATAGTGAGCTCGACCATAAAAAGTTGAAATACGTCGGGCCCGAAGGGTCCAGGTGGACGGGAGAGTGGCCCCAGGAGAAAGGTCTCACAAAGGCCCACAGGGCCGTCCGCGGCGGCGAGCACAGACTTCAGCAGGCGCACGCGCACACGACACCGAACGGCAATCCTTGCAGGAGCACGGGGAAGCCTCGAAGAGCAACGTGCTCTCCAAACGCGGCTCGGTACAGTCACGAGCAGACGCAGGATGGCATGGGATTGATTCGACACCGCTGCATCTCTGCCTGTTCGGTCCATCTGTGGCCAGCTTCGCCGGCCAGCCCTGAGGGGCACCCATGCAACTTTGAGGCCGACGGGCATTGCATCCTTCTAGGCCTCCTAGATGGTGTCGAGGTAGATGGGGTCGGAAGATCGCCCCGCATCGCCGATGTATCGACGATGCGGCTCGATGCGGCGCCCGATTTTCTACACGCCGACGTCGCCGACCAATCGCCGACGTCGCCGATGCATCGCTAACCCATCGCCGATACACCGGCGATGTATTGGCGATGCGGCGCGAACCTCCGACCCCATCTACTCGGACCCTATCTAGGAGGCCTCTAATCCTTAGCTTGCCTCTTGGGCATTGCATCCTCAGCTTGCTGCCTCGATGATGTAAGATGTTGGTGCGCGAGACGATTCAAGATCTGCTTGTGTCAATGCGCGTAAGCGCTGTCAACAGATAAGCATGTTTTGGGAGCGTTCGGGTTCGACACTCTTTCAGTGACTGTGCTAACGAATGTGTTTCTGTGTATGTTGCCTGGCCACGCTTTGGGGAACCACGATCTCTCGCATGCTTGTGCGTATGCAGAGACGCTGCAGCAGAGTGGTGTGTTTATGCAAACGCGATTTGGCGGCGCGCCATATCGCTAGCGCACTCGCGATGTGGCACGGCGTGGAAGCAACGGGCCCCGTTGGAGAACAAGTCGCGAACACGCGCAATGCTAGCAAACCCGTCCCCCTGTCGCGTCCTTTGCATCCCCCCCTTCCCACTTCTGTATGAGTACGGCCATGCACGGGCCGTCCCTCTGTCGGAGCGCGCCAGCAGATCATGGTCTCAAACATGCGTGCGCTCTAGCTCAGAAGCCGGGCGAAGGCCGGCAGACCCGTGGCTGCTAAACCGGAGGTCCGGGAAATTAATATTTCTTTCCAGGAAGCAGCCCGTTTACTATTTAGCGCGCTGAGGTATATTCTGGGAATTCGTCTTTTCCTTCCCGGAAGACCGTTTTAGCAGTCACGGATTTGCCAGCCCTCGCCCAGCCTCCGAGTCCACCGCACCCGAGCGATGCAGCCGCCCACCGCGTGCGCACCAGCACTGCGCGTCTGTACCGAACGCGAGCCAGCCAGCAGCCCACGGCGTGCGCACCCAGCACGGCATGTCTGCGAGCGCGGGTGTGCCGGCAGCCCACGGCGTGCGCCCCATCTTTTCAGTTTGGCCGGGCGTGGGCGGTCCCTGGCAGCCCACGGCAGCGGAGGAGAGCACCCCGTGGGGCGCAGGAGTGCTCGCGCTGGGCAGAGAGTTGTGGAAGTCGATTAATGGAGAGGAAGCGCGCTGCCAAATAATTCCCAGAGATGTCCAAAAGCATGTTTTACACAGTTTAAACACATTTACAATTCAATGATCGGACTGTTAGTGTGTACATTGTCGTGGCATCCATAAGCAGAGAGGCATTGATTGAGATAGGGGAACACAGTTCCACTGGCTGGCCAATGGACTTGTGTTGCCAGTGAGAGCCTGACGAGTATGTCAATGTGCCAGGGACGGCTCGGGGCAAACAACATGCCCTGATCATCGTTTCATCCGTAGCCCGTTCGGCTGAATCGGCGTGATTCGACGGCGCGTCATGTCTTCAGATCCTGCCAAGTAGCGCAAACAAAATGTGGCAGGGCGTGTCAGCCACGGGCCCCGCTTGACAGCGAGGCGTGAATGCAATGCTTCAACCCCGCCCCCGCGCCGTGTTCTTTACCCCTCCACCCGTCCCATGTGTATTGCGAAGGCCTTGCGGCCGGTGCCGCCGATCCTGAAGGGGGGCGACGACGACGGCGACGGCGACCGCGACGGCGACGGCGACGGCGTTGACGACGACGGAGAAAATTCAACAGCGAAGGACAAGTACTGTATTGAATTTACCCTCTTGGAGTTGTCTCGGGAGAGGTCTTGGGGCCCTCTTTTGGGGCTTGGGCGCCTCTCGGGGTCTCTTGGGGCGGAAGGCTCGAAATGTCGGTTGGATTTCCCCCTCTCGGGAGCCTCTTTGGGCCCTCTTGGGGCCCTATTCGGTCTTTTTGGGAGCCTCTTTGGTGGTTTTGGGGCCAGTCTTGGCTGTTTTCGGGCGTTTTCTGCAGCTTCTTGGACCGTCTTGGGGCAACTTTGACGGCTTCCTGGCCCGTCTTGGAGCGTCGGATGCCCAAAAAGGCGAGAGTGAAAAACATAGAAGTTGAATGACATTCGTTGATGTTTGCCTCTTGGGGCCCTTGCTCCTCTTGGAGCCCTCGTTGGGCGTCTTGGGGGCGTCGGAGGCCGTCTCGAGGTTAGCTTCAGCCGTCTCGGAGCGATCTTGGGTTGTTTCAGGCCCTGTCCAGTGTAGATGTTCAGTGCCACAAGCGGGGCACTGCTCCATCGCCGAACGTTGCGGTGTGAGCTGACCATGCCCTCTACCAAGGGTGCTCTCCAGCATTGCATGTTTACGGAGCGCGAGCGCTCCAGCAGACCACGGCGTGCGCACCAGCAGCATTCGTTTCTGATCGCGGGCGCTACAGCAGGTCGCGCCCTGTGCTCTTTCAGTGCGCTGTTGGCGAGCACGACCGGCCCAGCAACCTACGGCAGGGCTGCAGCGCACAACGCGGGCTGCAGTCATGCTCGCGCTGAGCAAAACGCGCATTGTTCGAACGCGCGCACTTGGATGCTTCAACCTCGGCCTCAACCAGCCCAAACGACACGACCTAGCCAAAATCGCACCAGCAAAATATTCCACGAACTGGACAGCCAGTGAAATGCGGTTGCTTCGGATTTGTCAACGACATGGCAATGTATCGGAGGTGGTTTAGGGGAAAAACCATGTTTTGGTCATCGATGCATCCGTCGCCCGTTCGGTTCAATCGGTTTGATCTGACAGCGTGCCATGTCGCCAAGCCTGGCGAGCAGCGCACGCGCGATGCGGCAGGGCGTGTGAGCAACGGGCCTCATTTGAGAGCGAGGCCTGCATACAACGGTACCTCCCCGCTCCCGCGCCGTGTCCTTAACCCTTCCCCTCGTCCCATTTCTACTGCGAAGGCCCCACGGCTGGTGCTGCCAACCCTGCATATCTCACGAACTGCAGAGGGATTGGTAAGGTCTGCTGTTTCTCCCTCCTTCCTCCCCGGGTGGCCTGCGGGAGGATGATGCCGCAGGGCACGGTCGTGCAGCACCAGGCGGGCCGCCGGTCCGCTCGAGGGCTCGAGGGATCTTCTCATCTCCTCGTGGTCGTGTCCTCCCGAGCCTTTTTCTCCTGCCTGCTCCTCCTCTCCCCCCCTCCCCTTTCCTCCGCCCCTTCCTTCCCATCCTCCTACCTCCTGCCTTCTCTCTCCCTCCTCCATCCCTTTCCCTTGTTTCTGACATCTTAGCCAGCGTGGACTCCAAGCAGTATGTTTCGAACAATATGTGTTGCGCACTCTATGTGAAACGATGTATGTGATGCCATCTACGTGGTGGAATCTAGTGCATGCGATCTAGTTTGTGCCATATATGTTTATATCTATTATATATGTGTATATATATAGATGTATGTATGAATCTATGTACATCTGTATATGTATATAGATACAATGTGTGCAATCGAGGTGGAACAACATATAGAATGTGCAATATTTATGGTTCAATGAAAGTGGTTCAGTATATGATGTGCAAATGGTTTCTACAAATGAGGTGACACATTCAATGCCCGTGCAAGCATCCCACCCACCCCCCCGCAACTTGGTTTGCAAAACCCATGCGGCTGCGATTGCGATGGGTGCTTGGCGTTGGCTGGGTGCTAGTCTATATATATACACATATATACACATATACATGTATACATAACTCCGACGGTACGACCCCGCGTGAGAATCCTTTCGGCTAGTCTGGAAATAACCCTCATCGTCGTCCTCGTGTTTGTTGAGGCGTCCTTACTGTCTCCTCTGCGTCGTTCTCCTCCTCGCCACTCAGACACGGGTTTCCGATGACCCTCCCCGGATTTCGAACGTGAGCTGCGGGCCCCGTAGGGAGGGGGCGCCCGCCTAAGACTTCCTCGCAATTCACTCACAAACGAGGCTCCTGCCTGACACTTTCTCTACATTCAGGCCTCAAGAGCCCAAGCGCGACGACAGTTACAGGTTTGAGGATGACCCGCCTTGGATTACAAACGTGAGCTGCGGGCCCCATAGGGAGGGGTTTCCTGCCTGAGACTTCCTCGCAATTCACTCACAAACAAGGCTCCCCCTGACATTTTTTCTACACGCAGGCCCCAAGAGCCCAAAAGTGACGACAGTTACAGGGTTCCGATGACCCGCCTCGAATTTCGAACATGAGCTGCGGGCCTGACTGGTATGGCGGAGGCTCTCGCCTGAGACTTCCTCGCAACTCGCTCACAGACGAGGCTCCTTCCGGATGCTCCCCCCATATTCAGGCCTCAGGGGACAAAACGTAACGACAGGTACAGGTTCTCCGATGACCCCCCATATGGCGGAGGCTCCCGCCTGCGACTTCCTCGCAATACACTAACAGACGAGGCTCCCGCTTGATAATTTCCCCCATGCTCATGCCTCAGGGGCCCAAAAGTGTCGACGGTTACAGGTTCTCCGATGGCCCGTTCGGGTTGCAAACATGAATTGCGGGCCCCATAGGGCAGGGGGCTCCCGCATGAGACTCACTCGCATTTCACTCACAGATGAAGCTCCCGCTTGATAATTTCTCACAATCAGGCTTCAGGGGCCCAAAAGTAAAGACACTTATAGTGTTCCGATGGCCCGCCTCTGATTTCGAACATGACCTGCGGGCCCGAAAAGCGGGGTGGGGGGCTCCCGCCTGAGACTTCCGTGAAATGCACTCACGAACGAGGCTCCTGCCCGATATTTCTTCCATGTTGAGGCTGCAGGACTTTTTAGACATGTCGACAGTTACAAGGTTTCGATGGCCCGTTCGGATTATTAGCATGAAGTGCGGGCCCCATGGGGAGGGGGCTCCCGCCTGAAACGTCCTCGCAATTCACTCACAGAAGAGGCTCCCGCCCGAGACGACACACAGGCGAATGATGATGATGCTGATGATGAGGATTACGAGGATTATGATGAGGTGAGTCATGATGGTGATGAGGATGGGGCAGGTGGTGATGATGGCGTGTGAATGATTGCTTACGTGACAGAGCCACCTAACTTAGGAGAAGTGAGTTAACGAGTGGGAGAGTGAGTAAGCTACGCTTGAATGAAAATGATCGAGTGAGGGTGCGATGGTGATGTGAGTTTGTGGGTGTGTCAATGAGAAGAGGCCAGAGAAACCGTCATCAAGAGAGACCGTCATCACGGTGTCTCTCGCAGAGCGAGTGAGTAAGTTATGAGTGAATGAAGGTGGTCGAGTGAGTGTGAGTGAGTGAGTAGACGACGATGAGGCTTGGTGGTATTGATGGGATAGTGGTAGTGGCAATGCAGAGTAAATGGATGATTGATGGTGATGATTTTGCTGTTGATGATAATGATGATAATGGAGGAGTGGGTGTGAAGAGGAGAGGATGTGGCAGGACTGCGCGGGGTGTCCAGAGAGAACAAGAACCTCACTTAGGATGTCGGAAAAAACGTCAGGGGTGCGCGCGCTGGCAACTCCAGCGACTGGCCTCCAGAGTCGCTGCGACTCGGAGCTGCCCGGCGAGGGCACGTCTGGACTGGCAGCCGAAGAGGGACGGGCGATGGTGGCATGCACGCCCTTTCCGCCCCTCCTCCTCCTCCTCCTCCTCCTCCTCCTCCTCCTCCTCCTCCTCCTCCTCCTCCTCCTCCTCCTAAGGTGTGAGTGGCGAAGGCACGCCGCCCAGAAACCGCCACCCACCCCTGGGGAAACCGGGCAAAGCCGCTCGCCGGGATTCTGGGCCGTGCTTCTACTGGGAGCCCCTGACCCGGGTCAATACAGGCCGGGGTCGCTCAGACCTTGCAGGATCTTGCAAGATCCGACCGGATCCTGCAGGATCCTGCACCCAAGCCCCGGTCAGTGCACACCTGGCTCTACAGGATCTTGCAAGTTCCGGCGCTCTGAATGACCCCCGTTTGCATTGACCCCGTCTCTTGAGCCCCGATTCTTGCTCATAATAGCTGCATGCGGAAGCTCGCCAATGCGCACCCCCCCTCCCCCTCCACAGGTGCGGCACCGCTCCCCTGGGCTACGCCCGGTGGAGTGCTCGCTGGCCTAGAGCCCAGAGAATAGAACGGCGAGGCGAGGCTGGGGTGTGAGACGCAGCATGTGCACAACATGGGCCTGGAGAGAAGAGGAACGGACGGAGCCGAAAAGAAGGAGAAGGAGGGGTGAGTAGCCTACGGGCTAGCCCCTGGCAAGGCAAGGCTCGCCACCGTGCTGGGAGGCGCAGCCCGTCTCAGCGTAGGGCAACAAGCAAACACCGCCAGCGCAACCCGACTGCGACGCAGAAGTCACGGGCACGGCTGGCAGGCTCAAGCCCTGGCGTAACGACCTCAACGCCGCAGCATGAGAGCGCACGGCGAGGGTGCCACAACTACGAGGCAAAACCCACACACTGAGAGGTCGCCCCCCCTAGTCACAAGTGAAGGAAGCACACTCTCCCAGAGGAGGAGAATGATGAGGGGGGAGAGGAGAGAGAAGGACTAGTAAAAAAGCGAGCACGCGAGCACACAACTGCCTGCATTATAACCAAGCGTCCGACACATCACGACGGTGTCGCAAAGAACAAGCCATGAGACAAAAGGCAAACGCCCGCACACATCACGACACAGGCGCAGAATTCCAGGACAGAGTGGTGACAGGCTCAACCTTGGCGAGGCGTCTCCCGCAGTACCACACCAGGCGACAGCGGGCGCAGAGCGAACAGAGCAGCGCAAGGGACAACTACATCCCCTGCCACGTCGAGGCTGAATTGCAGGAAGAGCAGTCAACCAGGCGAGGTGGACGAGGGAAGAGTCGGAGGAAGGGGACTGAGCGGGGGCACGGGGGGCGTGCGCGGGCCCGCGCCATGGCGGCGCCGTGGTGGGCCTCCTCCCCGTCGTCCATCGACTCCTCGGCGTCGACCAGGTCGGCAGTGACCTCCTCGGAGGCGCGCCGCGCGTGGCCCTCTCTGCCGATCGCCGACCGCAGGCGCCGCAGGGAGGGGGGGGCCTCCGGCGGGGGCGGGGGCGGTGCCCTCGGTGCAGCTTCGCCCCGCAGACCTCGGCGAGGCTGCTGCAGCGCCGCGGAGCTCCCGCCGCCGCCTCCGGCTCTGGACCCGCCGCCGCCCTCGGCCGCGCCCTCGGCTCCGGCCGCCCTGCCTCCGTCGGCCGAGCCAGCCGCCCCCCACTCCACGGAGCTCGGCATCGCTCGGACGCGTGCATTGTTCCTTCGGCGAGGACCCTCGAGGAGCATGCTGGATCACTCGGCGAAAAAACCACGCAGGAGCCCGAAAAAAACAGGGAATGGACGTCCGAGCGATGGCCAGTTGTGGGCGAAGCTCCCGGCGGTGCGCACAGCTAGTGCACGCGGCGCACTTGCTGTCCACCCCCACCTCCTGCCGCCTCCCGCCATGCCGCCGGCACCTGGGCGCAGGGACGAGGGACGGGCTGCCCGACCGGCGCGGGCGCCAGCCAGCAACTGGGGCGGACCAGCTGCTGCGAGAAGGCTGAAGATGCCTCGGATCAGCTGCACGCACTTGTGACACAGGGGCAAAAGACGTCTTGAGCCAAAATGGCTACGGACCCTCAAGGTGGAGGGGGTTGGGAGGGGGGGGGGAGGTGGGGAGGAGAGGGGCAGGACAGGACAGAGGAGAGGGGAGAGGGCAGCGCAGGAGGAGGGGTGGGTGGGGGACCAGGAAGGACGGAGGCCGGCGTCGCAGAAGGAGGGGGCGGGCGCAGGAGATGAGGAGGGGAGCAGCGGAGGAGTTGCCGCGGCCGCCGACCTCCCCCCCCCTCTCAGCAGCGCGCTGGGGCGAGCCCCGAGCGGACGGCTGGCATCCCTGGGCGGTCGCAGTCGCCGCGCCGGCAGTCTCACGCGGAGCCAGGACCGCGCGGGCGCCCCCCTCGCCGGTCACGAGGTCCGCTGATCCCGGTCGTCGCCCTCTGTCGTCGTCGTCGCCGTCGTCGTCGTCGTTGTCTTCGCCGTCGTCGTCGCCGCGGCCGCGGGGGGGCAGCTTTTCCTCCTCGGGCGGCGGCGGCGGCGGCGGCGGCAGGGGCGAAGAAGAAGAAGAAGGCGACCGCGACGATGGCGAGTTCGAGGAGGAGGAGGAGGAGCAGGAGGAGAGGGCGGAGGAGAGGGAGGAGGAGGAGGAGGAGGAAGAGGAGGAGCAGGTTGCACAATGCGGACCATCACCCTCTAGCACGAGCGAGAGGGGGATGAGGTCGATGGCAACGGCGACAGCCAGAAGGACGTGGAGTAGGACAAATATGACAGTGAGGTGAAAGGAAGGATCGGGAGGAGGGGGAGGACTGGGGAATCAGGAGAAGGAGGAGGGTGGTCGGCGAATAGGAAGACGGGAGGGTCTCGGAGAGGGAGTACGATGAGAGCGAGGGCGAAGACGAGGGATGGCAGGTAGAGGTAAACGGAGGAGAGGCGAACGGAGGACGGGGACTCCAAGGGTCGGATCGGACGAAAGCGAGGGGATGGGCAAAGGGGGGGTTGCGAAATCTGCTGGATGCAGCTGGTTCCGGCCCCGCCGCCGGGTGCCTTTCCTTGATATGCTGGCGCCGGGAGGCGCCGGGACAACGAGATACACGGGTTGACCCCCTACCCCCCCTGTTACTCCCCCCCTTTTATGCGACCCGGAAGGATGAGGTCGAGGCCTCTAAGAGGGGGCCATGCTGTCTTCTGAGACTGCCCCCTCACCTCTTGAAACGCATCCCTCCTATTGCTGGCCTTCTCTTCTATTACATCCTTGTCCGCCCTTCTCCTTCCGCCTCCTCCTCCTCCTCCTCCTCCTCCTCCAATTCCCCCCTCTCCACAGTTACACAATGTGAATATTACTCTCCTCTCTCCCCTGGTGGCGTCCGGGGAATGTCCGGCCCCACTCCGCGTACTGGTTTTTTACACAGGATTTCCGGGAAACAGGTGTTCGTTAGGTTTTTGTTTCCAAATGCTGCTCTCGCTGAAGCGCTGGCCTCATTCTAAGGCTACCGCTCGTTCCGAATCGTGCTCCCGCTGCAGCGCTGGCATCATTTCCGCGTTTCCGCTCGTTCCGAATCGTGCTCCCGCTGCCGCGCTGGCGTCATTATTTCCAGCGCCATGCCACGGCATGGTTGTCGGTATTTCCAAGTAGGCCCCGAAATCTAGAAATCGTCCCCCCGAAGAAACCATCGGAAGTGATTACACATTCGGTGTCGATTCGTTGATTTTTTTGGGCCGCGGAAGCTCACCCCATTTGGGGGCGTCGCCACGCCATGCTATGTCAGGCTACGCGTCCTCATTTCCGCGCTTCCGCGCTTGATTTTCTTCCAAATGTTGCTCTCGCTGAAGCGCTGGCCTCCTTTTCGGGCTACCGCTCGTTCCGAATCGTGCTCCCGCTGCAGCGCTGGCCTCATTTCCGCGCTTACGCTCGTTCCGAATTTTGTTCCCACTGCAACGTTGGCGTCATTATTTCCAGCGCCATGCCACGGCATGGTTGTCGGCCTTTCCAAGTAGGCACCGAAATCTAAAAAATGCCCCACCGACAAACCATCGGAAGTGATTCCACATTCGGTGTCGATTCGTTGATTGCTGGGGCCGCGGAAGCCACGCCCCCCCCCTTTGGGGCGTCGCCACGCCATGCTATGTCAGGCTACGCGTCCTCAGTTTCGCGCTTTCGCGCTTGTTTTGTTGTTGTTTTTTGTTCCCCCAAGCAACAAAGCTGCTCTGGCTGAAGCGCTGGCCTCATGTTCTGGCGACCGCTCGTTCCGAATCGTGCTCCCGCTGCAGCGCTGGCCTCATTTCCGCGTTTCCGCTCGTTCCGAATCGTGCTCCGCTGCAGCGCTGGCGTCATTGTTTCGAGTGCCGTGCCCCAGCATTGTTTTCGGTCCTTCCAAATAGGCCCCCAAATCTAGAAAATGGCATCCCGAACAAACCATCGGAAATGATTATACATTCGGTGTCGATTCGTTGATTTTTTGGGCCGCGGAAGCTCCCCCCACTTTGGGGCATCGCCACGCAGTGCTATGTCATGCTACGCGTTCATCTTCGACACCATGCTATGCCATGTAATGGTATGCCATGCTACGACATCCGATTGTGCGAATGGAGAGGAGATCTACGCCATGGTAAGGGATGGGAGGGATGAGTAGGACGTTAGATATGACGCGAGCGCACCCGGCTTGCCTCACCCCCCTCTCCTCTCTCACCCCCCTTCGTTCTCCCATATTCTCCCCCTCTCATCCTCCCTCCTCCTCCTCCTACTCTTCCCCCTGCGCCCTCCTGCTCCTCCTCCCCCGTCTGCCCAATCCCGCCTGGTCCCCATCCTCGTCCTCCCCCATCCTTTACAATTACACAGTCTGAATACATCCCCAGGCCGAAAGTTTTTTCCTCTTGGACTAAAAAATGAGAACACCCATGGATCCAATTGGATCCCTTTTCGGGTGTGGGAGAGTTTTGTGGATCCTATTTCTGTGCTGCGCGGATCCAATTTCCTGTGTGTGAAAAACGATGGATCCATTTATTTCCCGGGACTAAATATAGAATAACAATTAACATCCGGGACTCAGGGGAAATTGGATCCGCGGAGCAACGCAAGTGAAGCATCATGCTATCCACGGAGTTGTGGATATGCAGACCCATGCTATGATTATACGGGGGAGGGGGGTCTTCCCAGGATGAAGAGGGGACGGATGAGGGAAGAGGCAAGAGGAAGTGGGAGGAGAACCGAGTGGACGCAGGGGGGGAGAGAGGATAAACAATTTGGGAAGAGGGGGGAGGAGGAAGGAAGATGAGAAGGAGGAGAAGGAGGATGAGGGAGGAGGGAGGAGAGAGGAGGGAGGCAGACGGACGAAGGAGGAAGGAGGAGGAGGGAGGTGGGAGGAGGAGGGGGGAAGTGGGAGGAGGAGGAGAGGAAAGGATGAGGGAGGGCGAGGACACACAAGCAAAGTGTCCAAGTCGGAAGCTCGAGCGCCACAGCGGGCCCGGCCACCTCCCTTCAACTCTCCCATAGCATGTGGTTGCTCGAGCGCCACCGCGGGCCTGGCCATTTCCCGAAAGTTCTCCCATTTGCTCGAACGCCACAGCGGGCCCGGCCAACTCCCGCACCCCCAACCATAACATATCGACCCAACCTCGAAGAGAGCGCTACATGTATCTGCTCACCTGAATGGCGCGTCGCTTCCGACATGTGGGGCTCAAGAGGAAAATCTTTCGGCCTGCGGAAGTACTGCTCTCCTCTCTCCTCTGATGACGTCCGGAAGATATCCGACCCCCCTACGGATTTTTTCATCCACCGGATTCCCGGGAAATGTGTTTTCGCTGGACGTTTTATCTAAATGTTGCTCCCGCTGAAGTGAAGCGCTGGCTCTTTTTCTGCTCCCGCTGCAGCGCGGGCGTTTTCGGTTCTTCCAGATAGGGCCCCAATCCGAGAAAATGCCCCCCCCCTCTGAAAAAATCATCGGAAGTGATTACACATTCGGTGTCGGTTTGCTTTTTGGGGGGGCCGCAGAAGCCCCCCCCACCTTGGGTCGTCGTCGCTTTCAGGAAGTATCAAGCGGGAGCCCCGTTTCGCCTTTGAGAAGGCGATGTTGGAACCAGAGCAAGCGGGTGCACTCCATCAGCCCCGCCTTGTGTTCAATTCTTTCGGAGAGCCCAAGGAGCTAGACATAGAGCCACGACTCCAGAACCAGACCACTCGAAGACGATTCACTTACTCTCCAAGGAATCCGTGCCATGACATGCTGTGCGGTGTTGTGTTTTGCGCCGCTGTGCGGTGCCATGCTTTGCGTTGCAACGTTTTGCGATGCAATGCTTACCTGCGCGATGCCACGCCATGCTAATTATGGCATGCTACGCTCTGCCGTGCTCTTCTACGCCACGCCATGCCGTGCTCTACAATGCATCGCGTACCCTGTCGCGATCATTGCCCTGCTCGATATCCGGCTGTGCGATTAGAGAGGACCTCTATGCCGCGGTCAGGGATGGGAGCAAGAGGCAGGACGCCAGCTGTGACGCGAGCGCTCCTAGCTTGCCTCTCCCCCCCTCCCCCCCCCCTCCCCCCCGCCCCCGTTCCTTATCCCCCACCCCCTCCCCGCGCGTTGCTCCCACACGCCGCCGCCCGCGCCGCCGTGCGCAGAGCCGCTCCGGCCCCTCCCCCGTCCGCGGGGGGCCCCGCCGAGCGGCCGATGCGCCGCTGGCCGCGCTCCGCGGCCGCCCGCTGGAGAGCGGCGGCCACCGGCGGCGGCCGCCGCGGAGAAGGAGGAGCCGCTCCTGGGCTCCCCTCCGTGTCAGCTGCTCCCCCCAGACTGACGTCGGGCATGTCCCTCTACAGGAGGAGTGCCCAGAGATAGTCAACAAAAGGTCAGGTGACGATTTTGGATTAGTTTCTGGATTATCCGTAAGGGCTTCGCCCCCGGCCCCCTGTCTCGGATAATGGGAGATGCAGAAGCTAACTCAGGAGGTCTGGGCGTCGCCGTGAAGCAGTGTCGAGACCTGTTTGTTTTTCGACCCTGACCCCGCCGATCTGCGTGCGGGGTGTCACCGAATTTTAGGAATGTTGTAAATCCATTGTGTTTTTGGACCCTGACCCCGCCGATTTGCATGAGGGGTGCCACCGAATTGTAGGAATGTGTCACATCCCTTGTGTTTTTGGACCCTGACCCCGCCGATCTGCGTGAGGGGTGATACCGAATTTCAGAATGTGGCACATCCATTTGTTTTTTGGACCCTGACCCCGCCGATCTGCGTGAGGGGTGCCACCGAATTTCAGAAATGTTGCAAATCCCTTGTGTTATTGGACCCTGACCCCGCCGATCTGCGTGAGGGGTGCCGCCGAATTTCAAATATATCCATTGTGTTTTCGGACCCTGATCCCGCCGATCTGCGTGAGGGGTGCCGCCGAATTTCAGAAATGTGGCACATCCCATGTTTGTTTCCCCACATGCTTAGTGGGATTCTGGTTTTCTTCCCTGCCTCGTCGCACCCGCGGCCCTCACACACCAACCCGCGGCGCTCACACCCCACCTTCCTCCTCCCTCTCCTTCTACGCAGCACATCACAGCGCAGCACAGCGCAGCAAAGCGCAGCACAGCACAGCAGAGCACAGCACTGCACAACACAGCATAGCACCTCAGCACAGCACAGCTTAGCTCAGCACAGCACAGCTCAGCACGGCACTGCACAGCACAGCAAGCGCACCACAGTGCAGCAGAGCACAGCACAGCACAGCTCAGCACAGCTCAGCACAGCACAGCACACAGCACATTGACACACAGCACGTACACAGCACAGCACAGCTCATCTCAGCACATCATTGCACAGCACAGCACAGCACCTCAGCACAGCACACCTCAGCACTACACAGCACAGCACAGCACAGAACCTCTGGACACTATAGGGGGTGCGCAGCAAGTGGTCTCTGAGCACGGCCGCTATCCACGACACTATCGAAAAACCTAGCAGGCGTGGCATTTTCTGGACAGTATAGAGGGTGCGCAGGGGGTGGTCTCTCAGCGCGGCCGCTATCCACGACCCTGTCGAAAAACCTAGCAGGCGTGGCACTTTCTGGACACCATAGGGGGTGCGCAGGGGGTGGTCTCTGAGCGCGGCCGCTATCCACGACACCGCAAAGCCTAGCAGGCGTGGCACTTTCCGGACACCATAGGGGGTGCGCAGGGGGGGGTCTCTCAGAGCGCATCCCCAGAGAGGTCCGGGGCCTGAGCTCTGGCCCTCGGACCCAGATGTCCGGACGGCCAGCTTTCTATTCTGTCTCGGTGAGGCGCTTCTGCTTTGCGTGTCGCGCGGCCTGTTCTTGCCCAGCACGCTTCGGTGCGGCATGCTGGCCACGCCCCCGTTTCCAAGCTGATGGGCCTGTTGTCCACCACCACCACCACCATACGTTGGAGGGGGGAAGGAGGTGGAGGACGAGATGGAGGATGACGAGGAGGAGAATGAGGAGGAGGAGGATAATCAGGAGGAGGAGGAGGAGGAGGAGGAGGAGGAGGAGGAGGAGGAGGACCCCCATCCCCCTCCAACTTGTGGTGGTGGTGGTGGCAAACAGGCCCACCACAAGCCATAATCACCCGCGTCCCGAGCTCTTCCCGGCCTCCCCGCCCCGCGGAGCGGAGCGACACGCCGCCAGCGCGCAGGGGTCACTGTGGTGCCGCCTGGGCCGCCGCCGCGGCACGGTGCGCGAGCATTCCCGACGCCGTTCGGGAGGAGGCCTCGGGCCACGGGAGGTCGAGGCCACGCCACGAAAATGCCCCCGAGTCCTGGAGGTACGAGCCCCCCGCTTGGCTGCCTCGATGCGCCCGTGTTGCTACGCAGCACGTGCCGTGCTCAAAACGTCCGTGCCAATGCGTTGCGTGTTGGCTCGGCACGCGTTGGGACGCGTGAGCGCATCGCGTCCGACCTACGCTTTCAGTCGACGCGCTGAGCTCCGTACCAAAACGCTACGTATTGCGTGTTGCGTACCGGCGCAGCTAAGCGCCCCCCCCCCTCCCTCCGGAGGGATGGAGGGGGGGGGTCGAAGGGAGCAGTGCAGGCCTCGGAAGGAATTGGCGAGCAGTCCTGTCACATTCATGCTCGATGCCCCCCCCCCATGATCGATGCTGGCGGTGGGTTGCACGAGCTGCACTTCGGCCGCAGTCTGCCCTGCGCGTGCCAACTTTGAGTTTAGGGGAGCGGGGGAGTTTCAGCTGACTGTTTCTTTCTACCGTATCAAGCCGGCGGCGAGCGAGGGGGGAAGTGAGAAGGGGCGGGCCTTCTCAGAAGGCTCGGAAGTCCCCGGGCCTTCTGAGAGATGATCTAAGCCTTCCCCGAAGACACAACAAACTCCGCAGAAGGCGCGAGGGCTTCTGCGAAGTCCCGCCGCCTTCTGAGAAGGCCTTCTCCTTCTCACTTCCTACCCTCGCTCGCCGCCGAATCAAGGATCCACGAGGATCGAGGTGCTCTTGATGGGCCTGTTTTCCACCACCACCACCAGAAGTTGGAGAGGGGGGAAGGCGGTGGAGGAGGAGGAGGAGGAGGAGGAGGAGGAGGAGGAGGAGGAGGACCTTGACCTCGATCGACTACTCGGGGCACTACCTCGCCCCCTAGTCGCTATCAAGCGATCTGGCTGAGATTACCAAGTACTCTGTCACTCCGTCGAGGGCCTGCGGTCGCCAGCAAACGATCGGGCCCGACCGCACCTCGCCTCTCACGCGGAGGGCCCTGGGCGGGGTGGCACCTGCCAGACTGTCTTGCAGCCACCTGTCTTGCTCCCTCGGTCTCAGCCCTTACCCGACGACGACGACGACCCGTCCCCCGCTCCCTCCGTCGGGCTTCGGCTCGGGGGGACAGTGAATCAGAAGCTGAAGCAGCACGAACGAAAACAGCTCGGCAACGGCAATCCGTAGGGGTCTGGACAAGGGGAGTCGTCCAGAATTCGCCATGTCTCTAGACCTGGCGCTGCTGGCAAATGCTGGAGGGATGAGGTACGAAAGTGCTGATCTGCCTGTCAAAACTACTACGCCTCTCACTGCCGACTCCTGCCTCACTTCACCACTCGCCCTCTGTCCCTCCCGTGCGCTCCCCTCGGTGCCGTCCCGCACATCCTCCTGGTCCCCTGCGCCCTCGTAGCTGTCACGATCGCGCCGCACTCTGGGTTGAAGGTGAACCGGGCCATCTCCTTTCCTTTTCCTGAGCCGCCGTTCCCGTATTGTTCTCCTTACGGAAGATCATGATGCTGGAGTCCAGCTTATGTACTTCGGCTTGCCTCTTCACCTCTTTGTAGTACTTCTTGAGTGTCTGCTACGCCCAGCTCGTCTTGTCCTGGTCCCTCTTCTGCACCACTTTGGACCGCGCGACGAGGTGGCGCAGACCCAGGGATCCCAGGTCGACGTTCTCGTCGGTCTCGTTCCTCTTCGTGTGGTCCTGCGCGTCTTTGATGTATCCTGCGCCCTCAAGAAGCCCGACGTTGGTCCCTGAGGCATCTGCGTCCGCCTCCCGCGTCTCGATCTTCGCCTCTATCAGTTCCGCGGTCTCTTTGGCCACGGTGAGCAGGAGCTTCGCCTTCAGCTTGAGTTTGCAGTCCTCGTTCGTGTTGTCCTGGCGGCCCTTTTTTGTTGTCGCTGCCCTTCTTCTGTATGTCCGCTCCTCTCTTCGAGCTCGTTCTCGTCGGTGCGTCCTCGACCATTCTCGTACTTCTGTAGCAAACGGAGTATATACTTGAGGAGGTGCTGGCGGTACGAATCTCCTTCTCGCTCCAGCTGGCTGCCAATCGGACACTTCTCGAAGTATGACGTCGTTTCCAATTGTTTTCGGGTCCCATCTCGCATGCAAAAACCTTCGGTCGTTGATCTCGACGAGTGCCTTCCAGCTGCATGTCTGCATATGATTGTCTGCCTGTAATGGATGCTCTGCTTATGCTTGGTCAGGATTGCCACCGAGTTGATGATACCATTCAATCCTGTGTTCTTAGTTCGGCCGCTCATCATCTCCCTCTTCCACTTGTGCTGTGGACGTATGTATGGCCGTCAGACGCTTCCCATGTTTGTCGGGGTTGTGTTGTTGCATGTCCACGGACTGCCCCAGGTATCGAGTAGCTGGAAGTAGTTGTCCTGGGATCTCGAGCTTTGTTTTTCCCAACCATCCTGTGGTGTTGGGTCCTCGTTTTGAAGAGACGGTGGCCCGCGTCTCCTCTCCTCCTCCTCCTCTCCTCCTCCTCCCCCTCCTTCCTCCTCCCTCCTCCCACCATCATCATCGTCATCACTCATTTCGGCACACCCCTCACACATTTCGTGGCCCCATAGGGAGCTCCACCGAAGGTCCCAGTGGGTGTGCCCGCATGCGTCCCGCACACCCATTTCGGCACACCCCTCACACGTTTCGTGGCCCCATAGGGAGCTCCACCGAAGGTCCCAGTGGGTGTGCCCGCATGCGTCCCGCACACCCATTTCGGCACATCCCTCACACGTTTCGTGGCCCCATAGGGGGCTCCACCGCAGGTCCCAGTGGGTGTGCCCGCATGCGTCCCGCACACCCATGTCGGCCCACCCTTCATACGCTTCGTGGCCCCATAAAGAGCTCCACCGAAGGTCCCAGTGGGTGTGCCCGCATGCGTCCCGCACACCCATTTCGGCACACCCCTCACAAGCTTCGTGGCCGCATAGGGAGCTCCACCGAAGGTCTCAGTGGGTGCGTGCGCATGCGTCCCGCACACCCATTTCGGCCCACCCTTCATACGTTTCGTGGCCCCATGGGGAGCTCCACCGAAGGTCCCAGTGGGTGTGCCCGCATGCTGCGTCCCGCACGCACATTTCGGCACATCCCTCACACGTTTCGCGGCCCCATAGGGAGTCCAACCGAAGGTCCCAGTGGGTGTGCCCGCATGCGTCCCGCACACCCATTTCGGCACATCCCTCACACGTTTCGTGGCCCCATAAGGAGCTCCACCGAAGGTCCCAGTGGGTGTGCCCGCATGCGTCCCGCACACCCATTTCGGCACACCCCTCACACGTTTCGTGGCCCCATAGGGAGCTCCACCGAAGGTCCCAGTGGGTGTGCCCGCATGCGTCCCGCACACCCATTTCGGCACACCCTTCATACGTTTCGTGGCCCCATAAGGAGCTCCACCGAAGGTCCCAGTGGGTGTGCCAGCATGCGTCCCGCACACCCATTTCGGCCCACCCCTCGTTTCGTGGCCCCATGGGGAGCTCCACCGAAGGTCTCAGCGGGTGTGTGCGCATGCGTCCCGCGCACCTATTTCGGCCCACCCCTCACACGTCTCGTGGCCCCATAGGGAGCTCCACCGAAGGCCCTTGTGGGTGTGCCCGCATGCGTCCCGCACACCAATTTCGGCACACCCCTCACACGTTTCGTGGCCCCACAGGAGCTCCGCCGAAGGTCCCAGTGGCACAGTCCGCATGCGTTCCCGCCATTCATTTCGGCACACCCCTCACACGTTTCGTGGCCCCATAGGGGCTCCGCCGAAGGTTCCAGTGGAACTGTCCGCATGCGTCCCCGCCACTCATGTCGGCACACCCCTCACACGTTTCGTGGCCCCACAGGAGCTCCGCCGAAGGTCCCACTGGCACAGTCCGCATGCGTCCCCGCCACTCATTTCGGCACACCCCTCACACGTTTCGTGGCCCCATAGGAGCTCTGCCGAAGGTCCCAGTGGCACAATCCGCATGCGTCTCCGCCATTGAGGTCTGCACACCCCTCACACGTTTCGTGGCCCCATAGGAGCTCCGCCGAAGGTCCCGGTGGCACAGTCCGCATGCGTCCCCGCCATGCATTTCAGCACACCCCTCACACGCTTCGTGGCCCCATAGGAGCTCCGCCGAAGGTCCCCGTGGCACAGTCCGCATGCGTCCCGCCATTCATGTCGGCACACCCCTCACACGTTTCGTGGCCCCACAGGAGCTCCGCCGAAGGTCCCAGTGGCACAGTCCGCATGCGTTCCCGCCATTCATTTCGGCACACCCCTCACACGCTTCGTGGCCCCATAGGAACTCCACCGACGGTCCCCGTGGCGCAGTCCGCATGCGTCCCCGCCACTCATTTCGGCGCACCCCTCACACGTTTCGTGGCCCCATAAAAGCTCCGCCGAAGGTCCCAGTGGCACAGTCCGCATGCGTCCCCGCCATTCATGTCGGCACACCCCTCACACGTTTCGGGGTCCCATAGGGAACTCCACCGAAGGTTCCCGTGGCGCAGTCCGCATGCGTCTCCCTTGCCCAGTACAGCGTTTCGTGGTCCCATAGGGAGCCCCACCGCAGGTCCCAGCCAGCCAGCTAGCTGTCTTTGCTCCGCGCAGTGGACGACCCGCGCGCGCTGGGACCCCTCCGGGGCGACCTGCGCGCGTCGCGGGGGCTCCGTGCTGCGTTCTGCCCAGCGCCTCGCTCGCCCGTCGTCGCTCTGCCCAGCGGCAAGAGCCTTGCCCGCTATCAGCCAGCCAGCTAGCTCTCTTTGCTCCGCGCAGTGGACGACCCGCGCGCGTCGCTGGGACCCCTCCGGGGCGACCTGCGCGCGTCGCGGGGACTCCGCGCTGCGCTGCGCCCGCAGCCTTGGACTTTTGAGTGCGCGGGCAAAGAGGGAGTAAAGGAAGGGGAGGAAGCGGGCGCGATCCTCGCGGGGGGGCGCGCCGACATTGGCGTCGCGGCGTGCGGGCGATGCCGTCGGGGAGTCCCGGGGAAGCTCCTTGCGGCGGCCACGCCCCGCGTCACGAGTACTCAGAGGCAGCCATTGTCAAACGATTGGCTTTCATTTACAATTGCACCACGCTTTGTCATATTCGCATTCATGCACGTAGACTCGCCCGCACGCAGATTCATTCACAATCAGACGCACGCGCGCAGATTCACCCGCGTTCAGTCTCCTTACGTATTCAGATCAATCGTTTTCGTTCGCGTTGTGGACCACGCCACTCATGTCGGCACACCCCTAGCACGGTTCGTTGCCTCGTAGGGATCGCCACCGAAAAAGTGAATCACTATTGCGGTACTCACACCTGCATATGGTTGGGTCCCTCGTCAGGCTAATTGTCGTAGTGGTGGGGCAGCTTCTGGGTCAGTGAGAGTCCCCGTCCGAATGTGTCCCCTGGAGGTTCTTAAACTTCAAGTAATTGGGCGCCCCGACTGTGTCCACTCCACTCCGAAAGTACTCCTGCCGACTTAAACAGGTACTGTGTGTCTACCCATCCTGCATCTTCATGCCGTGCGCCCTCCTTTGTTCTCCTTGGTTGCCTTTTTACCCTGCCTTTTCCTCTGGGTCCCTGTGTTTTCGATGACGTCGTAGTCGCCGCTATTTTGACGATCTCTGTCGATCTGTCCTGACAGCCAAACAACGGGTTGAATTGTACGAGAGCTGGGCTGGTGGTCCATTTTATAGCAATGCAGACCAGCGCCCTCATCGCTGGAACATGGCTCCTCAATACTGATGAGCTGTTTTGGATACTGAAGAGAGCTGCCTGACTTGCTCGATGGACGAAATGGCAGCATGAGGTGGAGGAGGAGGAAAAGAGGAGGAGGAAAAGGAGGAGGAAGACTCCCTTCCCCTCCAACTTGTGGTGGTGGTGGTGGTGGAAGGCAGGCCCATCAGCTCTGTGCACTTTTCTGAAGATTGGCCCCCGGGAGGCCTCCGGGGACCCCCCGGGGGAGCGTCCGCGGGGGGAGGGTGCTCCGCCCCCCCGGAGGCGCGCAGGGCGCAGGGGCCCCCCAGGGCCGTCCCGGGGCCGTCTCGGGGCTGGTGGCCGTCGGCAGTCGGGAGGGGAGGCAAGAAGACACGGGTACCATCGATCGCCGAGTCCCAGGGGAGTATACGGGAGAATGCGGGAAGTGGGGGCGAAGACGAAGACCCCGGCAGTGTCGGAACGGTATCTGGGGCATCCTGGGATCTGTGTCCGCCTGTGTGTGTGTGTGTGTGTGTGTGTGTGTGTGTGTGTGTGTGTGTGTGTGTGTGTGTGTGTGTGTGTGTGTGTGTGTGTGTGTGTGTGTGTGTGTGTGTGTGTGTGTGTGTGTGTGTGTGTGTGTGTGTGTGTGTGTGTGTGTGTGTGTGTGTGTGTGTGTGTGTGTGTGTGTGTGTGTGTGTGTGTGTGTGCGTGCGTGCGTGCGTGCGTGCGTGCGTGCGTGCGTGCGTGCGTGCGTGCGTGCGTGCGTGCGTGCGTGCGTGCGTGCGTGCGTGCGTGCGTGCGTGCGTGCGTGCGTGCGTGCGTGCGTGTGTGTGTGTGTGTCCCTGGGCCCCTGTGAGCAGGCGGCTCGGGAGGAGGCCGCCTGCCCCCGTCGGGGTCCAGGACCCAGTCCCGTCGGGGCCCCCTGCCTCCACGCCTTATGATGTTCCAACTTGCTCTAGCCTGGATCACCAGCACGAGTTTCGAGCACACGGAAAGCACCGAGATTGGAGGGTCTTCACGTGTCGGGCCCTCGGAGGCGATACTCGTTCGACGTTGTTTCGATCGTGTTCTAGGTGCTCGAGATGATTTCTGGGATTTGGTCCTAAAGTTTGATGGGAGCGACATAACCTATGCCTCCCCAATGGGGTCCGAGCAGATGGGGTCGGAGGATCGAGGCGCATCGGCGATGCGGCTCGATGAGGAGCGCGATTTTCTCCAAGCCGACGCCGCCGATGCATCGACGACGTCACCGATGTATCGCCGATGCATCTGCGGTGCGGCGCGATCCTTCGATCCCATCTGGGAGGCTTGTATGTCCCTCACCCCCAGGCGGCTGGCGGCCACTGGCGGCTGGCCGCTGACAGCCGTTCGCTCCGTGCTGCCCAGCAGCAGCAGCACCACCACTGCGCCATCCCAGCCCTCCAGGCGTCCTCGCGGGGGACATCACGAGGGGAGGGGGGGGGAGGTATGATTCTGATGTCCCCTGTGCTCGCGAGGCCCACGCCGTTCCGCCGACCCCGTGGAGAGGATGCGTGCAGCATCCGGTTGCGGTTGCGTTTTTTCGCCGCTTCTCTTCGTGTTACGTGTGCTGATTCAGTTTTCTTCGGGCGGGGCTAGGACGAGGATAAATCCGCTCCAGATCGTCCCGAAACGCTCTGAGAAGGCCGCGGCGACCGAGACATCCTCCAAAGCCGCCGGACCTCAGAGATTCTCGATTTGTCCTCGCCTGAATTTACCCTCGTCCTGGCTTCGTCTTATGATTCAGCTTTTTCCCCAACCATCCTGTGGTGTTGGGTTCTCGTTTTGAAGAGACGGTGGCCCGCGTCTCCTCTCCTCCTCCTCTCCTCCTCCTCTCCTCTCTCCTCCTCCTCTCCTCCTCTCTCCTCCTCCTCCTCCTCCTCCTCTCCTCCTCCTCCTCCTCCTCCTCCTCCTCCTCCTCCCACCATCATCATCGTCATCACCCATTTCGGCACACCCCTCACACGTTTCGTGGCCCCATAGGGAAGCTCCACCGAAGGTCCCAGTGGGTGTGCCCGCATGCGTCCCGCACACCCATTTCGGCCCACCCCTCACACGTTTCGTGGCCCCATAAAGGGGGCTCCACCGAAGGTCCCAGTGGGTGTGCCCGCATGCGTCCCGCACACACATTTCGGCCCACCCTTCACACGTTTCGTGGCCCCATACGGAGCTCCACCGAAGGTCCCAGTGGGTGCACCCCTCACACGTTTCGTGGCCCCATAGGGAGCTCCACCGAAGGTCCCAGTGGGTGTGCCCGCATGCGTCCCGCACATTCATTTCGGCACACCCCTCACACGGTTCGTGGCCTCATAGGGAGTTCCACCGAAGGTCCCAGTGGGTGTGCCCGCATGCGTCCCGCACACCCATTTCGGCCCACCCCTCACGCGTTTCGTGGCCCCATACGAAGCTCCACCGAAGGTCCCAGTGGGTGTGCCCGCATGCGTCCCCCACACCCATTTCGGCACACCCCTCAAAAGTTTCGTGGCCCCATAGGGGGCTCCACCGAAGGTCCCAGTGGGTGTGCCCGCATGCGTCCCGCACACACATTTCGGCCACACCCCTCGAAGGTCCCACGCTTCGTGGCCCCATAGGGAGCTCCACCGAAGGTCCCAGTGGGTGTGCCCGCATCCCGCACGCCCATTTCGGCACACCCCTCACACGTTTCGTGGCCCCATAGGGAGCTCCACCGAAGGTCCCAGTGGGTGTGCCCGCATGCGTCCCGCACACCCATTTCGGCACACCCCTCACACGTTTCGTGGCCCCATAGGGAGCTCCACCGAAGGTCCCAGTGGGTGTGCCCGCATGCGTCCCGCACACACATTTCGGTACACCCTTCACACGTTTCGTGGCCCCATAGGGAGCTCCACCGAAGGTCCCAGTGGGTGTGCCCGCATGCGTCCCGCACACCCATTTCGGCACACCCCTCACACGTTTCGTGGCCCCATAGGGAGCTCCACCGAAGGTCCCAGTGGGTGTGCCCGCATGCGTCCCGCACACCCATTTCGGCCCACCCCTCACACGTTTCGTGGCCCCATAGGGAGCTCCACCGAAGGTCCCAGTGGGTGTGCCCGCATGCGTCCCGCACACCCATTTCGGTACACCCTTCACACGTTTCGTGGCCCCATAGGGAGCTCCACCGAAGGTCCCAGTGGGTGTGCCCGCATGCGTCCCGCACACCCATTTCGGCCCACCCTTCATACGTTTCGTGGCCCCATAGGGAGCTCCACCGAAGGTCCCAGTGGGTGTGCCCGCATGCGTCCCGCACACCCATTCTGGCACATCCCTCACACGTTCCGCGGCCCCATAGGGAGCTCCACCCAAGGTCTCAGTGGGTGTGTGCGCATGCGTCCCGCACGCCCTCATCGGCCCACCCCTCACACGCTTCGTAGCCCCATAGGGAGCTTTGACTAAGGTCCTTGTGGGTGTGTAATTTCGGCACACCCCTCACACGTTTCGTGGCCCCATAGGAGCTCTGCCGACGGTCCCAGTGGCACAGTCCGCATGCGCCCCCGCCATTCATTTCGGCCCACCCCTCACACGTTTCGTGGCCCCACAGGGGCTTCGCCGAAGGTTCCAGTGGAACAGTCCGCATGCGTTCCCGCCACTCATTTCGGCACACCCCTCACACGTTTCGTGGCCCCACCGGAGCTCCGCCGAAGGTCCCATTGGCACAGTCCGCATGCGTCCCCGCCGCTCATTTCAGCACACCCCTCACACGTTTCGTGACCCCATTGGAGCTCCGCCGAAGGTCCCCGTGGCACAGTCCGCACGCGCTCCCGCCATTCATGTCGGCACACCCCTCACACGTTTCGCGGCCCCACAGGAGCTCCGCCGAAGGTCCCCGTGGCACAGTCCGCATGCGCTCCCGCCACTCATTTCGGCACATCCCTCACACGTTTCGCGGCCCCATAGGAGCTCCGCCGAAGGTCCCAGTGGCACAGTCCGCATGCGTCCCCGCCATTCATTTCGGCCCATCCCTCACACGTTTCGTGGCCCAATAGGGAACTCCACCGAAGGTCCCCGTGGTGCAGTCCGCATGCGTCTCCCTTGCCCAGCACAGCGTTACGTGGCCCCATATGGAGCCCCACCGCAGGTCCCAGCCAGCCAGGTAGCTTTGACTCTTTGCTCCGCGCAGCGGGCGACCCGCGCGCGTCGCTGGGACCCCTCCGGGGCGACCTGCGCGCGTCGCGGGGGCTCCGTGCTGCGTTCTGCCCAGCGCCTCGCTCGCCCGTCGTCGCTCTGCCCAGCGGCAAGAGCCTTGCCCGCTATCAGCCAGCCAGCTAGCTCTCTTTGCTCCGCGCAGTGGACGACCCGCGCGCGTCGCTGGGACCCCTCCGGGGCGACCTGCGCGCGTCGCGGGGACTCCGCGCTGCGCTGCGCCCGCAGCCTTGGACTTTTGAGTGCGCGGGCAAAGAGGGAGTAAAGGAAGGGGAGGAAGCGGGCGCGATCCTCGCGGGGGCGCGCGCCGACACTGGCGTCGCGGCGCGCGGGCGAGGCCGTCGGGGAGTCCCGGGGAAGCTCCTTGCGGCGGCCACGCCCAGCGTCACGAGTACTCAGAGGCAGTCATTGTCAAACTGTTGACATTCATACACAATTGCACTCCGCCTTGTCATATTCGCATTCATGCACGTGGACTCGCTCGCACGCAGATTCATTCACAGTCAGACGCACGCGCGCAGATTCGCCCGCGCTCAGTTTCCCTACGTACTCAGATCAATCGTTTTCGTTCGCATTGTGTACCACGCCACTCATGTCGGCACACCCCTAGCACGGTTCGTTGCCTCATAGGGATCGCCACCGAAAAAGTTAATCACTATTGCGGCACTCACACCTGCATATGGTTGGGTCCCTCGTCAGGCTAATTTTTCTCCGCGTCTGCTGCGGGGCTTCTACAGGCCCAAGGGGCGGGGGCCTCTTTTGCCTTCCACGAGGGATTTCTTCGGGCTTTGGGGGGGGCGCCCTCTCGTGGGGCGTCTTGGGGGCCTCTTGGGGGCATGCTGGTGGCCTTGGGAGCCATCTCGTGGGGGAGGGCTCCCAGGCGGGGTCCCTGTCGGTTCCGCTCTTGGGCCTCTTCTGGGCCCCTTTTGGGGCCGTCCCGAGGACATGCTTCAAGGTCTTACGGGCCTACTTGGTCTTCTTAGGGACCTCTTGGGCCGTCGAGCCCTGGTTTGGGGGGTCCCTCGCGCCATCTCGGAGTTTCAGAAGCCCGGAATAATTCTGGCAAGGTCAAGGGTTCTTGCTTTGTGAGGCTCTCTTGGATGTCCTCTGACCCAGCGTGCCGGATCTGTTCTGGAGCCATTTCAGAGCCATCTTGGGTATCTCGGCGGCGACCGCGGAGAGTGGCTTGAAGGTTCCCGTGGACCTAGAGGTGCGTTGTCCCCGGAACATCGGTTCTCTCCCACTCAAATGGACTTGTTGTTCCCAGGGGAGGGGGAAGGGGGGATGCGGACAGCCAGATGTTCCACACGCCTGTTCACATCCCGCCAGCGGGGGTCGGCGGAATTTTTCTCCGACCAGCATTGCACGTGCCTCGCTGCGCTAGTTTGTCCGTGGGTCGCGCGATTGTGATAGCCCTGAGGGGCAGCGGATTTCTCTCGATCGGACGTTTTGTATTCCCTGCTGTGCGCGGTGACCAACCCTGAGATCCGACGTTGCCAAACAATTGCAACATCGCAAAACAAATCACGCCCGGAACCCCGGACCCCATCTTTCTGCGTCATTTTTCGAGCCAGACCGATCTGTGAGGGCCCCAGGGCCCGAAATCGAACGAAACCGCCTGTTGTGAAAAAAATGCAACGCCAGGATCTCAGGTCTCAGGGAACTAGCAGACGTTCTCCTGCAGCTTCTGGACCTCCTGGGGGGCCCTCGAGGCCACGGCCGGGCGCCGCTTGCAAGAACTGCCCGGATCGGGCCCGCAAAAAATCCACTGGGATGGCCGTGGGGGTTATAGGGGGGTTACAAGTGGATGCCAAGGTGGGTTATGTCTGGCCCACCCTGGCTTATGAGTGGGCCACACGTGCCCCAAGTAGCTTTGGGGGGGTAACGATCCAGGCTGACTGGGCTGCGCCCGCTTAGCGAAGTTCTCTAACCCCCCTAACCCACTCAGGGGACGTATAACCCACTTATATAGGGAACCAGACTCTATACACCGACGCTTTTGTTCGGGCCCTGCACTGAAACTCGCACAGGAAAGCGGATCCTGTTGTATACGGGATCCTGGTGTACACGTTTTTTTTCATTGCTTCCTCGGGAAAGCGGGGTAAAGGTATACACCCCACCGCCCCGATGTCGTCCCCGACCCTACAGAAGACCGGGGATTGAAAAACAGCGCGCCACTGGTAGTGTGTATGCTCCAGCTTCCGATGATAAGCCAGGTTGGGCCAGATGTAGCCCACCTTCGCATCCACTCGTAACCCCCCTGTCCGCCCAGCACCCCCCACGGTCATCCCATCAGGGGGGCGATCTTCGGTGAGAGCGGGTGGCCCAGCCTGCGCCTCTGGGCGTTGGTGCGGAGACCATCGCGGCCACCGATTCCTGTGCACGTTCTCGGCCTCCCGGGTTAGGTCGGGCATGTCCCTCCCTGACACGTCGATTAGTGAATTGGCCGTTTTCGGTTCGCGAGAGGGCGTCGCGGCCGTCATTTTTGCAGTTCCAAGTCCGTCGGTTTCGGTCCCAGGTGGTTTACCACAGGGAGGTTCGTCCACCGCCGATACAGGGTGAAATACAAAAGCGGTCAAAAAACAGTCTGGGGACGATGCTTCGACGCTGTTTGAATCTACTGTTTGGGGCTATTTCCCATGTTTCTTCCCAGATCCGCCCGTAGGAAGACATGCCCGACCTCACTCCAGGGGCAGCTTCTGCTCGTGCCCTGGGGGCCCGCGTGCAGACGACACCGCGGCGAGGACGAGCGCCAGCGGCGGCGCTTGCGAGGGGTCGGCGCGAGGGGGGGCGGCCCCCCCGGAAGGCAGGGGGCCTCTTGGGAGGGCCTGCCGGGAGGCTCCTCGGGGGCCCTTTTCGGAATCCTCGGGTCATCAGGTGAGCGGGCCTGCGTTTCACGGGTTTGAGCATAAGGTCGTCCTGTCGAGGCCACGGCCTCCACGCCTCCTCAGTGGGCACGGGCGAGCTCCCCAGAGAAGCACGCACGACTCTGGCTTTCGTTCGTTCGTTGGTTCGGAAGCCTCGGGGTCCTTCCCAAGATCAGGAGGGGAAAAAACACGCAGACAGAATTGATCGGTCGACTCCCAGGAAAAGCCAGGAAGATATGGGAATGGGGGGGAAGACGAAAGCCCGAAACATGTGGGAAAACATGGGGGGATCCTGGGAGTTGTGTCCATTTATTTGTGTGTCCCTGGGCCCCTTTATAAGAAGGCGCTTGCCTGCTGAGGTGCCCCGTACCTCGCGCCGCGCCGTCTTTGCGCGCCCCGAGGAGGAGCGGTCGAGGAGGAGGATTGGGTCTGCAGCGGCGCTGGGGCGCGGGCCAGGCTCCGGGAAGCGCCGCCGACGACGTCGGCTCGATGGGGGTCGAGCGGGCCGGGCAGAGGCCGAAGAAGGGCGAGGACCCCGCGGCGGAGGCACCCAGCAAGATCAGCTTCCCCGAGGTGCTGGTGCGGTGGTGCAGGCCCGACCCCCCCATGCGGGGCACTCCGCCCCAGCCCGACGGCGCGCAGAGCGGCAGCATCAGGCTGCTCGGCAAGCCGATGGACCGGGGCAGGCAGCTGCGCGAGGAGAGGAGGAGGCAGCGCAAAGCCAATTCCAGGGGGGGCGCCGCCGGCGACAGAGGAGGCTCCGACGCGGGGCTCGTCCGCGTGGAGGCGGTGATGGCAATGTTCCGGGACCAGGGCTCCGACGTGCCGCTCAGGGAGGAGCGGCCGGGCCGGGTGCCGCCATCCGCGAGGGCGTCGTTGCTCTTGCCTCGCGACGCCTCTGCGGTCCACCGCCAGGTGTCCACAGAGGAGGACGAGGACGACGCGGAGCATGCTGCTGCAGCCAGTGAGGATCCTCATCAGCTGGCAGCTGCGACGTGGGAGACCGCGGTGTTCGAGGTGGTGCAGCCGGCTCAATCCGAAGGCGCCGCTGCGAAGCTTGGCATCGCAGAAGCGAGAAGCGTCGCTACCCAGGTAAGGGCGCAAGCCGCAAGGATTACCTCCGAGGCATGGGCAACTCTGAAGCAAGAGTTCGAGGTTCAGTGCCAGGTCTGGGAGAGCGCAGCTCTCCTGGCCGCTGCGAGAAACAAGGGCAAGATCGAGGAGCTCGAGAAACGGCCAGAAGCTCAGCTCAGGGCGAAGCTGGAGGCTCTGCTTCTCGAGAGCGCAGACGTAGGCTCCAGCGCGAGCAGCGACGCAATCAAGACGTTCGCGGCCACCGTGAGGGAGGACGCCCAGCAGGGCCGCCACCTCAGCAAGTCGGTTGCCAGCGCCTCTGCCGAAGCGGAGCGAGCGCAGCCCCTTTCGGAGGCACGCCACTCTCTCAGTCGCCATCTCGAAGCCGTAGCTGCTGGCAGCTCTTCCACGCAGCTGGAGGCAGCCCGCCGCGAAGACCTCGAGATGCTGGTCTCCACCTGTCGACTGGAGGACACCCGCGTGGAGTATTGCACCAGGCGCGTGCTCGGGCTGTCTATGTTCGTGGGCTCCGTCGACATGGGCGGCGACAGGTGCAAGTGGGCGGACGTGGGAGACGACGTTCGCGAGGGCTTCCTGAGCGGGTCCTGGGGCTCGCAGAGCACTGAGCCGTGGGCCGCCTGATGCGCCCGCGCCTCCGCCGACTGATGGGCCGGGGGCCTGCCGAGCGCTCGGTACCATCCGGGGCCCCCTTCGGGGGCAACGATCGGGGGGGGGCAAGCACAGGGGGGAGGATGCATCGACCCTCCACCGCCCATGGATCGTCGACAGGGGGCCCGATCGCCCCGCCCCGCCCGGGAAGGTGCGGCATCACCACCGGGGGCCCGTCGCCGGTCCATCGACGACGCGTCGCCGATGCCAGGTCGAGGCATGCCCCCGTGGTGCCTCGCCCCCCCCGATCGTGGCCCCTCGCCCCCGAGGAGCGCGCGGTGCCGCTCCGGCCCGCCGCCTCTCCTCGGCGGCGCGCAGACGGGTGGCGAGGCGCGGGGGCTTGCCAGGGAGGCGCGCCGCCCCTGCGAGGCCCCTCCGGCCCGTGCGGAGAGGCCTCGTCAGGAGCCCGTGAGGAGCAGGGAGAGTCGCCGAGCGCGCTCCACTACTCGCAATGCGCCGCAAACGTCAGCAACAGCAGCACATGTTCGCCGCTGTGTGATGAATCGTAGCTCCACCGCGGCGGATCCAGGCCATGTGCGAGCAGTCATTTTGCGAGTAGCGGAACGCGCTTCTCTAGAGAAGGGTCACTCCGAGAGGCCCCCTCCGCCCTCTCGGGTGGCCGCCCCAGAAGCCCTGCCCCCGCCCCCGAAGCCCTGCCCCCGAAGCCCTGGCCGATGCCATCTCTTCCCTGGGATCCGACGTCGCGAAAGCATGCAGCATCGTGGGAAATCACGACCCAGGCCGTCGACCCCATCTTGTACCACCGAGCGCGCTCCACCACTCGCAAAGTGCCTGCTCGCAAACGTCCGGAAAACAAAAACATGGCTCTCTCTCTCTCTCTCTCTCTCTCTCTCTACGTCATCGAGCGTAACTCCCTCGTGGCAGATCCAGGCCATGTGAGAGCAGTTACTCTGCGAGCCGTGGAGCGCGCTTGTCCACATTGCAGCTGCCGCTTTTCGAGCTGGGCCGATCCGCGAGGACCCTAGGTGCCCGACACTGGACAGGAGCGCCCTGATTGTGTGTCGATGATCCTAGCCTGAAGTCGGGCGTGTCCCTCTACAGGAGGAGAATTCAAAAGTAGAAAAAATAGTCTGGGGGCGATCTTTTTATTGTTTTGGTAATTGTTGAATATTTGTGGGCTTATTTTTATTCTTCGTCCAAAATCCGCCTGTAGGGGGACATGCCCGACCTAGTATTAGCCCAACGTGTGTCTATCTCGTCTAGCCCAACCGGTATAGCATTACATCGCCTGCGTAGTATCGAGGAGCCTCGATGGACAAACACACGTTGGGGCTAACACACGTTCTGAGGATCACCGGTTGTGGAGCAAAAGTATTTCGCGACGCCTGGCTCTGAGGGTTGTGTCTGTCCTCCCGCTCGCGCCAGCCACCTTCTCTAGGCGGATGCACGTTGCGACCCGCAACGGCGTGGTGGGATACAACGTTGCGGTCGAGGAGGGTATGTGAAGCTGCCTGCGCCCTTGCAGGCGGAATCTCTCTGTGCAGCTGGTGCCCGCACCGAAAAGGACTGGCCGCAGAAGCCACTGGGATGACCATGGGGGTTTCAAGCGAATGCCAAGATGGGTTATATCTGGCCCAACCTGGCTTATGAGTGTGTTACAAATTTCCCGAGTGACTTGGGGAGCTCAGATCACTGCGCACAGTGGGCGGAGCCCACTTAGCCCGGACCGTTAATCCCCCTAAGCCGCTCGGGGAATTTGTAGCCCACACGTATGCCAGGTTGGGCCAGATATGACCCACCTTGCCATCCACTTGTAACCCTCTAGGCCTCCTAGATGGGGTCTGTGTGGTCGGAGGATCGCACCGCATCGCCGATGCATCGGCGATGCGGCTCGATGTGGAGCCCGTATTTCCCCACGCCGACGTCGCCGATGCTTCGCCGATGCATCGACGATGCATCGCCGATGTATCGGCGATGCGACGCGATCCTCCGAACCCATCTACTCGGACCCCATCTAGGAGGCCTCTGAACCCAGGCGGGGAAAAACACACAGACACAATGAATCGTCGACCCACCGGAAAACGTGGGAAAATATGGGCATTGGGGGGGAAGACAAACACACCCAGAACATATGGGAAAGTATGGGGAATCCTGTTATTTATGTCTATATGTACTTGTGTGTCCCAGGGCCCCCTTCAACCCCCCCCCCTCCCCACTTGGAAAGCCCCCACGGTCCTCCCAGCAGACCACACGGCCCACCAGTCGCACCGCTTGCCCCCCCGGCCGTGCATGCGGCGGGCCCCCGCTCGCTCGAGGGCTGGCGCGCCCGGCGTGCCTGGCGCGCCGTGGCGGCGCCGCCTCCCCGGGGGTACGACGGCGGCCGGGCGCTGAGCGTCGGCCAGGCGCCCCCAAGCGTGAAGTCGGGCCTGTCCCTCTGCAGGAGGAGCATGCAAAGAAAAACGCAGAAAATAGTCGGGGGACGATCTTTGGAGGATTTTTGAACATGTTTTGCGTATTTGTTCCTTGTTCGTCCAGAAGCGGCCGGCCATGTTTGGAACATTTCGTCCAGAAGCGTCCGGCCATGTTTAGAGCATTTTTCCCGCAGTTTAAACTCATTTTAAATTCAAGGATAGGACTGTTAGAGTGCCCATTGTCGCAGCAGCCACAACTCTGCAGGGCCACTGTCGCGCGCGGTCGGCGGACGGCAGGCTCGCGCTGCGCCGTCGCGGCGGCGGCCTCCCGCGCGGGGCGCTCGGGGCGGGCGGCCTCGGGCGGCCTGCGCGCGGCCAGCCCCTGAGGAGTCCCCGGGGTATGTTCGCGCCGTGGGCGATGCAGCGACGGCGGGGAGGTGTTTCAAGCAGTGGCGAAGCGTCCTGGCTTGCCTACAGCCCTACCGAACAGTGCCCTATGAACCTCTGTGTGGTTTCCACGACAGGTTCTTAGAACATGTTGGGCTGGGACTGGCTTGTTTTAACACATCGGGCTTATGTTCTAAGAACATTGTTTCTGTTCTTAGAACATGTTTGTGTTCTAAAAACACTTCGTGGTAGGACTATAGGAATGCCGGGACGGTCGGTCCCTGCTCAAGTGTTGGGCAGTTCGGGCCTCGGGGAGCCTTCTAGAACGAACGAGACCGAACGAACAAGCCACACGCCACAGAAGCGCGTGTGCAAAAACGTGCGTCTCACGTTGCTCCGCGCGGGGACGCAGAAAAATCGCGGGCAACGAGATTGCGTAACGCAGGCTGCTGTGTGCCTCCTGCCAGGGCGTCAGGGCGCGAAGAACAAGGACGTATGTTACATATGGTCTCTCACCTCGGGAAGACTTCTAGGGGAACGAAGAATGATATAGAAATGAAGAGCCCTAAGGTCCGCGCGGATTTCTAGGATCGGCGCTGGACCCCCATCCCCCTCCCCATCCCCATCTCGAGCCCCACCGTCTCACCACCTCCGTTGGGGATAGGATGTGCCCCTCGAAACCTGAAGGGAGCGGCACATATCCCCATCTAGCAGTACTGGCCTCGGGGAGACGTATGGGGGAACGAAGAATGGCATAAACATAATAACTCGGAGGTCCGCGCGGATTTCTCGGATCGGCCCTGGACTCCTTTCACGGCGCTCTCCGGCGCCAGGGGCGGCGCCGGAGGCACCGTCAGGGGGGTCCAGCGTAGACCAGAGCAATCCGCGCGGATCTCCGAGCTTTTATGTTTATGTCATTGGTCGTTCCCCTAACTCACCGAGCGCGTCCCACTACTCGCAAAGTGCCTGCTCGCAAACGCCAGACAAAAACACATGCCTGCTTTGATGTAATTCATTGTCGAATCCCCGCGGCGGATCCAGGCCATTTGCGAGTAGTTCCTTCGCGAGTAGTGGAACGCGCTCGTCTAGTAACCTCGCGCGTTGCACGAAGACCGCGACGTCGGATGCTCGGGGCCTGCGCTGTCGGGCACCGGGGCCGTCGCCGAGAGGGGGGCGGCCCGTGGCTTCAGGCGCCGGCCGCCCCGTCGGCACAGCGGGAGGCAGCGGTAGAGGCTGCCTCGGACGCCGAGAGCTCCACCGCCCTGACAAGCCAGAGCACGGCGGATGCCTTCTCGTAAGTCGGGCCTGTCCCTCTACAGGGGGGATGTTCAAGCATCAGCCGGCGTTGACTCCAAATAGATAGGAGGACAGGAGGCGGGCGAGAGGAGGATGGGAGGAGGAGGACGGGAGCAGGACGGGAGGAGGATGGGAGGAGCAGAACCAAGCAAGCGCAAGCAAGCAAGCGGAAGCAAGCAAGCGCACGCGAGCAATAACAAGCAAGCAAGAGCCAGCGATCAAGTGCAAGCAAGCAAGGACAAGCAAGAGCAAACACGCAAGAGCAAGCACGCAAGAGCAAGCAAGCAAGTGCCATGGGAAAAAGGGGGGGCATTGGAAAAGGGGGGCATTGGAAAAAGTGTGGGGGGTGTCCTAAAGACAAATTACTTATGATGACTATTTGGAGAAACTAATCAACAAATAACATGGGTACTATTTTTTACTTTGTTGGTTTTGTTGGCGTATGTTTTGTTATTTAAGAATCGTTCGTCCAACATCCGCCTGTATGGGGACATGCCCCACCTAAGCATGTTCATTATTTGCAGCGTCTGGGGGGGCGCTTTCAGGTCCCAGGGCTGTCAGAAGAGTCGCCAGCCCCAGGGAAGAAGTCTAGAGCTCCAGTGGAAGCCTTTGGAATCAGTCAATTTGTCGGTGGTCCAGGTTTCCTGGCACTGCGCCACATCGGCAGCAGTTTCCCGTCCCGTAACCCTGCCCTTTGTCTGTTCGCTGTCTCCTGAAACAGGCGCACGAGGGCCGTCTGATCGGTCGTCATCGTCGGGGACGCGGCAGCGGCCACTTAGCTTTGTATAGCAGCGTCGCTCATTGCAGAAAAGCAAAGGGCCCGAACACACAACGTGGGGAACGCATTGAGAAAGTGGGAACTGACCAACGTAGCTAAGGCGCCATGGGAAATCCATTCCCCCTTCTCACCCCCCCCTT